GGGAGTTTTTATAGATACGCATTTATTAGGTAAGATCGCCTATGCTTTCTATTTTAGACTTTTGCAAATTTCTATATTTAACAAATAAACGGATTATCTTGGACGTACAAGCATTTCAATGAAAAATTGAAAAAGCAGGTTGGCTCATGCGCCAGACATGTAAATCTTCACAATCGTTAACGAATTAGACGCGACTTGAGAGTAATGCTGAGGCTCTTTTGCTGTTGCAAGTAAGAAAGGGATTACGGAGTTCCACTCTAGGTCAGCGGTCGAAACTCTGGGGCGCAGTCGCTTAAAAAGTTTGGATGAGCTGGACACGTGACGCATTCCATGATACTCCGTGGACAGATGCCACCAACGGTTGGATTTCACCAGACTCAAATGCGAAGCATAACTGCGGAGCTGATACAGATGATAGCATGTAAGAAAAGCAACCCCTCACGACCACCTTTAGTGAGAATGTGGTCGATTCCCGCATGAGTCGTACCGTTGGGTGACTCCCATGTTCACCGCCGGTGTTCTTTCTTCATGAAGAAGGAGTTGCCATGAAAAAGTCGGGCGGTGGATAAGAGCCCAACGGTTACCATTCTCATTTCGGAGTCCTGATCTAAACCTCCCGATTCTGTGCCCCTTCTTCTGGCATGCTGATTTCGCATTGAAGCCACCCACGACAAACTTATAGAAGGAGTTTTCTTTGCGAATGACTTCCTCAAAATCCTCATAAAATCAAGTTCCGAATCATCACCTGCTGATGTTGGAAAATAGCAGTTGGTGATAGTGATGGCTTTCTGATGCAGAGGACGGAGTCGAAAGTTAGCCAGGCGGGACAACAGATGGGTGTACGACAAATCCAACGCCTCCAACGTTCCGTGATGGATCAGCTAGATGGGGTACGGAAGACCACTCATTCTGCAAAACTAAATCTCTTGCTCTTTTTCGTGCTCAAATGACCAGGCATATTCAAATCCACAGGGGAATGATATAGCGCGAGTGTATTAGTAATCGCAATTCAGTAGGCCATATTTTTGCTGATCATTACATTTTGATATCAATTAACTTCAATTTTGAGCTTATTCATAGGCTCAAAACTATAAAAGAATGTCGTAAACACCGTTTTTTCTAGCCCCCTCCATAGACGTTATGCGAAGATAGGAGAGAAGGTAGAATAAATTTCAAAAAGTTCAGAACGCAAAAAAACATGTATCATATCCTAGGAGCTGGAAGCCAGAACACGCTTCATTAAGCTGTTGAAGGTAGATATTTCTACTTCCCGCCATGGACGAACTGCTGAGAGCTCAAGTAATACTAGCTTTCTTTTCAATCTAAAAACTATCAAATTTCCCTTTTTTCAAACTGACCAGCCATGGCTCCAAAATTAAAGCCGTCTAACATAGAGTCCCCTTTACAATGATGTCCTTACATCAATCATTTATCTAAACATCAATCGTGGGCAGAAATTATACAGGGAACAAAACATTGAGACCAAAAAATATAAATGCATTTTTCTGTCCAGTCTGTTGTATACGAGTCGTATATGCAGAACAGAAGAGCTTAAGGTTGCTTATCGATTTGTAATAAACAAACTTCCACCAAACATCTCAACTGCTTATTTGACTGACAGTTTTTTGTAAAAGTTGACGAGCTGCTCTTATAATCTGAAAACTGTTGTTTTATGCAAGAGGAACGATGTCTACTTCACATCTTCATATTTAAGTTATATATCCTGAACTCTCAAGTGCATGTGCATCTTCTTAAAACTAGTTAGATTATGCTTAGCGTCTAGGCTGATTTCATTGAAATTTTCCAAATTTTCTTGTATTTCGTCGATCTTCTGATTTCCTAGTAACATGCAGTCTTTTTCTGAGCAGTCATGCTTTCCTTATTATCGGAAATTATTGTAAAAATTAAATGAATTTGTACCACATACCCAATGATATTAGTCAAAGGCTTATAGAAATTTCCAGCGATATATTCCCTTCTTATATAATAATTTTTTATAAAGGAGCTATTTCACTGTTTACGAGGAAGTAACCTTATGGAGCAGGTAGTCGCATTACGTACCTGACGGCGTGCGACTATTAACGGCGAAGCGTCAACAAATTATGAAATTTGACTCGCAGTTGATTTGCTAAAGTGCGCTTCCTTCGCGGTGCAGTAAATTTAGTTTGTCTACAATATTCCTCATTTTGAAATAGTCGGAAACACTCACGTCCCTATTTAAAGTCAGGTATATGATAGCATTGATACCGCTGTTAAAAACTAGCAGAATCGGCGTTATGACATAGGCTTCCGTAATTCCAATATTCAATAACGGATAGACATAGAATGTCATCCATATGACTGTGTATGTGGTAAACATGATAAAGAATAGAATAGCGCATCTGTAAGAAACGAACATTGAAGAGTTTATTCAAAAGAAATTTCTAAGCAACCTTATCTCTCGCTTGAATGCACCACTGTTCCGAGAGACGCCTTTTATCCTAGCGTAAACTATCATCTAAAACAGTGAGGTTCAAGGTGAATTGACATATAGAATTATAAGTTTCGTTATGAACATCTCAATCAAGGTTTCCTTCAGATAATTATATCGCCAACGGTTATACTTGATTAGTAAAGAACAGATCACAGGACTTCACAGAGTTTAGGCGGCGCCGATGATGAGTTCAACAAAGAAGAATTTCTTGCTTAGGTAATGATTTCGTCTAAAATAAGCGCTAATAGGATAGCGTGACACTGTCTTCCTGTTCGCTGGATCACTTTTTCCGAAGACTTTCTGAGATTTCCATAAAATGAATAGAGAACTGTCTTTTGCAGTAAAATGCTCATATGTAGACGACTTCTGGAACTGCTTGACATATACAGCTTTCACCATCGTCTCGTTTTGCAACCTATCAGCGCAGCAAAGTTTTGAAGGACGAAGCACTGGTTTAAACCATGTCCTGTGTTTTTTTCGCGCAAATACTATACAAAGAGTGGCTTTTTTAAGAAAAGCTCAGTCTTGTTTTCTAGGGCAAAAACCATGAAAAGCTTCTTTTGATGGTAAAATAGTAGATTTAGAAATGCTTTCACCATTGAGTAGATTCTTTTGAGGAATTGTTCGCCAGAACTGACTTCTGAAAATGCTTAGTTTTCCGCACCAATGCATAGCTAGTTAAAATAAATTTTTGGATAGGTCTGTTGTAAAAGTTCCAACCTTCCCTACAAGATCAACACAACCTTTAATGATTGCTGACAATATTTTAGCCATTCTAATATTTTCT